AGCTTCCAGAAAATAGTTACACTTACACTTTGATTAGCAATAGTTACACTTGTATCAGCTGTGTTTCCAGTCGCTTCCATTTGATATTTATAACTAAAGAGAAAATAAGAATATTATCTGGTAAGCTAGAATCAAAGTTATTCTCGTTTATTTCTGTTTTGCTTAGAGTGGGCCACACAGAAGAATGTCACACCAGCTGAGGATGGGACAGGGGTGCTTTCTGGTCACTCTAGAGGAGACTCAGTGAGGGTTTCTGAAGCCCCAGGGATCCTCTCCTTTTGACACTCACCTCTGTGAAGAGGAAGGCAATGTGATTAAAAAAAAATTCATGCATGACTTTCGGGAAAAAGAGGGAAGTGAGTCTTCCCTGGCACTCCTTGCTGAGTCAAAAACAGGCAGGGACAGGCTTGGCCTGGAGGAAGGTTCTTGTGCTTTTCTGCCAACCTCTCCCATTAGGAGCTCCAGGATGAAATGAGAGCTGAGAACACTTTAAAGGGAAATTTTATAGGACAGTATAATAGATTATTAAGTGTTTAACAAGAGGAAAACTTTTTTTTTTAAGAAAAGAACAAGACATAAGAGTCTGCATATTTATTTTCCTTAGATTTTTCTCTGAATATGATTTTTCCCTATGTCAGTATAAATTCCACATTGTACATGAATAAATTTTCATCTAGATAGTAAAGAGGAGTCAACAGGATTAAAGAGCACCATTTAATCTTCAATGCAGCCCAGTTCTACCCCTCATTTGCCCTGGAAAGGGGCCATGATATATAACTGAAAATTTGGGTTGAAGCTAGTAAAAATGAATTTTCTTGAAAATGCCAGTATTTATAGATGCACGCCTACATAGTAAAAATATAAAAACATCTCAGAGAATGAAAGTTCAGAGCAGTGGTTTACCTATGAAGTATTTGAGAAGAGAGAGAGATATCAAAAAGGAAATACGGTAAAATTTTAAGATCTATTAAATTTACATTGTGGCACATGGTGTCTGTTATATCAGTGTTTAAACTTTCTATATGCTTGAAATACTTTATAATTTAATTTTTTAAAGAATGTATATGAAGACTTGCACAGCCAAATATTAGAAAGCTAAATGAAATTCTTTCTTCTCAGCTATGTGAAAGAAACATGCAGAGCACCAATGGCTCAGTGGCCCGAGTTCTAGAAACAATACCAACATGGTGAGGGGCCTGAAATAGATTTTTATGAATGGGAGACAATTCCAGTAGAAAATTCAGGATTTGAGTAGACGCCTAGAGTTGGTTTTAAAATGATTCAACTTAAGGCAACAAATTAGGACAGTCAATGGGAGAGTAACCCAAACAGGTTATATGTTTACACGTTCTGTAAGTGTAGTTTTGTGTCTGCAGCCACCAAACCACAGCACGCAAAGCTCTCAGGCTGGCACCTGACCCTACGCTGTGTCTCCATATGACTGAGCACACGCTGAACCACCAGCCTTTCAGGGGGCCTCTCCAGGGCAGCAGAGAGCTGGGGTTCTCACAGAGGCATGACAAGAAGACGGGGCGTGAGGATGGAGGAAGAGAGGCTGTGGGTGAGGAAAAGGCAGAGCCCATAACATAACCTTTAAGCCTGAACGAATGCACTTAATAAGTATGTAGCAAATGTAAGGCTCAGTAGCACCATTTCTTTCCAGGAAACGTAGATGCCCTCCCTCTGAAGTTCCTGCTGCAATGGATTCTGGGGCTGAGTGTGGGACACTGTCCACGACACCTCTGCCCACCTGAAAGCGTCATGCCACAGATGCTACCGTTGTTCACGCACTGTGGACAGAAGCCCTGCCTCCACTTTCACTTTCTCTTCTGTAACTACAGCAGTCAACAGAACTCCTACATTAACCTTTAGGTATGCAGTTATCATAGAATAGCGAATGTTTCAGGTATACTTTTTCTCTTTTTTGTCTTTCTCCTTAAGATCCAGGTACACTAGTTCAGAGATTCTAGGAGAGGTAAAGATGCCGTAATCACCATTTTGAAAACAAATAGCTGTTAAGAATCAGGAAAAGCACATGCTTATAAAAATAATATACTTGGACAATTCTATACAATCTATGCGATACAACTTTATAGTAGAAAAGTATGAAAAGGAGTAAGGCTAAGATTGAGTCCACTATTGCATTTAGATCAGTAGCTCTCAAACAGGGGTGATTTTGCCCCCCAGGGGACGTTTGGCAATGTCTGGAGACATTTTTGGTTGTCACAATTATAGGGCCTCTAATGAGTAGAGGCCAGGGATGCTGCTAAATATTCTATTAATATAATGCACTGGACAGCCTCCCAAAACAAAGCGTTTTCTCGCTCAAAACGTTAATTGTGCCAAGTCTGAGAAACTCTAGATGTATTCGTCTCATTGTTTCCCTTATAGCCTCACACAGACCCGGCGCTTAGTAAACTACTGCAGAAAAGACACGTACGGTTGTAAAGTCTTCCTGATAAAAGACATACACTGAGAGCAATCCTTTCCTCTGTCTAAATTTTACAGGGAAAAAGGGATTTAAAATCCCTTTGTGAACTTAAAAGTCACCCTCATCTCTCCTTTATGGAAAAGACTATTAGAAGGGATATTGGGAGAAGAGCTCTAAAAAAAAAAAATACCTGGTAGTTGTCTCTTTCTTTCCCTCTTCCCCATCCTTCTGATTAAGAGTTTCTAGGATAAATAAAATTGCTTCCTTTAACTGTTAGGAACAGCAGAGCCATTTAAAGTCTCAGTGAACAATGACAGGCCAAGGGAACAATGACGGCTTGTCACAGTCAGATTCTCTAACTCCAAGTCCCTCCTTTTCTTACAACTTGATTAAATGTTTTATAAATATATACTGAATTAGTGAATACAAAACAACTAATTGGGTAAAATAACGCGGTTGTAGATGAATTTTAATAATGACCAATATTCCACATTTATATTTTGACTTGCTTTTTTATTAGTTGTTTACATGTCTATAAGTTAATGCCTTGTATTGGTTAGTATCAACAATTGTTACTTAGCCACGAAATACTGGAGCAAGAGAAGTAAACAGCTCGTGAAAATCACCATAATTTGTATTTTTTTATATAGAACCAGTCCAGAAAAAACGTCTAGTTTTTCAGTTAAAATTAATTCTTCAGTTGTTATAATCAATGCTGATAACATGTGTCTTTCAATTCTCCTTCTCACGGATAAACACACAGAGAAACACACATGTTTGTACATATGACAGACAGACACGTGTGTTCCAAGAGCTGGGTCTGACTCCCCAGCGCCTGAGCGCCGGCGGCCTGCTGAGGCTCCCTCTCTCGCCCTTGCTCCCCGGGCTTATTCTCTGTGCCTTGTTTCACCGCCGGCCTCCAGTGTCCTGTCCCTCATCTCCCTGACCCAGCACCCCAAATGCACACATTCTACCCGAGGGGTGCAGTGAGCAACAGTCTGCTGTAAGGCAACGTCTAGTCTAGTCCAGGCTCGTGAGAAAGGCCGGATGATTTCCCACCCTCTGAGCCTCAGCTGCCCACAGGCGTTGCACTCTGTACCTACTGCAGCTGCTATGAGGACTAATAGGGTTAATGCATATAAAGCGCTTGGCAAATATTTGGTGTTTAATAGATGCTAATTAGCGTCTTTATTGCTGTTCCTCATTCCTCACCCAGGTTCTAAAGGACTTGAGGCCATTAGACTGTGGTCTGCTTCTGTGGACTAATGATGTCCTATTTACCTGCCTAGTTACCTTTAACAGGAAAATCATCTTTCTTCAAACAACTAGAGCTCAGAGACTTACAACGCCAATATGACTAATAGGATCCACATGATACAATATGGGTGGGTTTCACTTGAAAGGTAAAGAATGACATCACGGTATTTTGGCTTTTGTTTTGGAACAGGGCTAAGAACTTAAAAAAGGCCTGGGCCTAGAAATGGGATATGAGGAAAGAGAAGAAACAAAATGCAATGCTGGAAAAACCAGAGACAAATTTCTTTACATCACAGTTTCCCCGAGGGCCTGCTCTATCAACCTTTAACTATCCACAGAGACAAACCAGCAACAAGACTGAGGCCAGAAGCATGTTAATCCCGCGGGGCTCACACACATAGTGGGAATCGTTTCGTCCAAGCTTTGAACGACTGAGCAAACAAAAACTTTTATAAACGACTAAATTATAATTGTTGACTGGCTTTTCTGCAAAACTCTATCAGTCTGTGTTTATTATCAGTCTATGAAACATGGTACGATATTATGAAAACAAAAAACTCAGATTAACTTAGAGAAAGATATTCTCAATAAAATCGACAAACAAAAACAGAACCTGAAGATGGTAAAAGGTACAACCAAACACACCGCCACCGTGTCGCGAAGCAGCTCGTTCCAGAGGCACGGCACGTGCGCCTGCTCACCTGCTCAGGTAGCGCCCTGGGTACTTTCGGGTTCTCTATGGAGCACTTACAATACGTTTTCTCATTTAATCTCTAAAAGACCTTATTAAGTATATACCATTAACATTTCTACATTTTATACACTTTACGCATTAGGATACTAAGGTTTCAAAGTGTTGGAAAACCTACTCAAAGCCACACAGCTAATAACAGAAACTGGATCTGAATTCATGATCTTAAATATTTAATATACTGTATAATCTACACACTCAGTCATCTGGTTTTTTTTTTTTTCCACCAAATCTCCAAAGAGCCAAAATCAAACCTTTTTTTTAAAGGCTTATTAAAGTTTCAGGAAGTATGCAATTTTCAAAACCTTTAAGGTGATCAAGAAATAGCAAAAGTTTCTCAGCTAATGTTGAAAACATTTCTACTAAATGGGAATGTTAGCAAAGTTTTAGTATCTGTCACTTCTGTTGCTAAGAGACATATTTCCATTTAAAAGTTATAATAATCATATGAACACTTCATTTTAGGGGCAAAAGCAAACTGTACTAATTTAAAGCAATTCCTTGGAAATCCTAGGAAATCCAATTTTCCAGAATTCACAGAGAAGGGTACCACAAACTTACTTTGACCTGAGGGTAGGACTTCTTGTTCTTTTCACTCGATGCGCCAGGCAGCCCGCCGTGGGATGGGCCTTCGCACACGTAACGGAAACGAAACCCTCTCTGCAAAGGTGAACATCGAGCCAATCGGTTAGAGAAATGCTTATTAAAAATTATTGTGACAAAGTTACATACAAATTTTTACATCTTATGTGCACTAAATGAGAGAAGGAAAACATGAAACTGTGAGAGAGGACTCTGTAAATGAGAATCACTCTTCCCATAATCTTTTCATGGAACTATATTCATTAGCATCTGCACACCGAGATGTGGCTGCAAAGCCAGGCGCCGAGCTGCGGAAGCTCCCGCGCTGCGCGTGTGCAAACTGCTGCAGGGCTGAGGTCTTCCGGCTCAGCACGCGGTGGCTCGTGTGCATCCCAGCTTCCCCGGCTCCAACCGCTGCTGCCACGCTCTGAACTTTGCCATAGTACTAACAGTTACGCTTCTTTGACTCTTTCTTAAAGGAATTCCTTTATCTACTCTGATCACAGTTCGCTCAGGAGGAACCACAGCACTGTGTTTGCAGACATACCAAACCGGTGCTGTGGAGCCCCCATGCTCGCCCCTGCACTGGTGAGCTTCTCTCGGCGCTACAGAGGATAAGGTGTTTTTTTTTTTTTTGAGACAGAGTCTCACTCTTTTGCCCGGGCTAGAGTGCCATGGCGTCAGCCTAGCTCACAGCAACCTCAAACTCCTGGGCTCAAGCGATCCTCCTGCCTCAGCCTCCCGAGTAGCTGGGACTACAGGCATGCGCCACCATGCCCGGCTAATTTTTTGTATATATTTTCAGTTGTCTGATTAATTTCGTTCTATTTTTAGTAGAGACGGGGTCTCGCTCTTGCTCAGGCTGGTCTCGAACTCCTGAGCTCAAACAATCCGCCCGCCTCGGCCTCCCAGAGTGCTCGGATTACAGGCGTGAGCCACCGCGCCCGGCCAGGATAAGGTTTTTGATTTTATAATTATCGATGTGATCCAGCTCAAGCTTGAATATGAGCTGACCCGAATGAATCTCAAACCAGGTAGTTCCCTTAAATATCATCCGACCAGGAATTTTATAGACATAGTTAATCAATGAAGAGTTAGCTAGAAGCCTTTACTATTAATACATAAACTACTAGGGGCTGATAAACACCATGTTTCTTCATCTGTATAAATAAGAAGATTATACCTGACATCTTTAAGGTTTATTCCAGTTCTAACATTTTATGATTTAGAAAGCTAGCTTAATTATAATTAAGCACATTTGTATACACGGAAGAAAACAAGGTTAATTATGCAAATGGACCTCACCATCGTATTAAGGGATTCTCTCTGAATTTCCTGAGAGACTCAACTTTATAATAATGTCAATCAATTTGTGGTAGTATTAGTAGTTTATAACTGTTGGTAAGCAGATAGTTTCCTTTTTTCAAATTCACTCTTTGGTGAAAAGAACAATATGTTAATATACTTTAAGGAAAATCCTCCCCTTTCATTTATTTTTATTGCGGGGCTGACTTCATATCAACAGGACTGATCATCAGGCCATCAGGAGCTCCCCACACCCGCTGACTGCGGTGGGGGCTCTCTGCCTTACTCATCCAAGTTGGAATGCCGGCAGCATGAAGGTTTTCACCGCTTTGAGCTCATGGACCAGTGTAAAATTTTTGCCCTCCTTAGACTGACTACCTTTCATTATTACTACTATGGCTTTGTAGTCTGAGTGGTCCAGATGCCTTGAACTCATTTAAATCTCTGGGAAACATCTGGAACTGTGCCTACATTCTCTGAGGAATTCTTTATTTCCAAAGATCAGCCCTAAAGCACACATCACCAGACGATTAAGGCATGAAGCAAACTCCCTAGCCTGGGAACGTTCCTCAAGGTGCACAAGGATCTTCAGTGTACGATCAACTCACCAAAGTGAGACCCGAAATAACTCCTGCATATGGCTCCTCAGGAGATTCGAAACTTACATACCACGGAAGCCTTCTGAGGTGAGGTTTTAGGGGCAATTCCTTTGTTTTGCTTCTCACAAAACTCAAATTAAAAAGTAAGTTACAAATTTAGCCCTATACCTTTTGTAAGCAACACCTATTGATTTATTTTAAATAACTAAATGAAATTTCTAAAAGCATGAAAAAGCAACACATGTGCAAAAGTTGGCCTCCAGAACTAGCTAAACATAAAGATAGAGATTTACTTGACTGCTACTCAACTTAAACACCGCTTCAGTTTTTACACAGTATTAGACAATTAACACTGAATAATACGCAACAGAACTGGCTAGTCTAAAAATTAGTAGTCTACGCTATGACTCATCTCTGTCAGACTTAGGGAAAATCTGTGGCAAGGAGGCCCTGAAGAAAAAGAACATTTTTCTATCTTAAAAATTAAGAAAGCAATTAATGAATTGCTTTAATCACAAAATTTCTTTGGGATAGTAGAAAAAAACTGAAAAACACTTGATAGATATTACTCATGGCTACACAAGAGTATCTAAAGTTCTACACAAAGAAATTTTTAGCCTGAGCATGGAAATTTGTAACTTTTTCTTCAGGAAGATAAGATGTCTTCAAATGCATTGTCTGGACGCATGTCTGATTCTAAATTTCTGAGATTAAAGGTTTGCCAATCCACACAGCCATTGACCTCAGCAACTCCATTTGCTTAACATGAGTCATCAACCTCAAAGGCAAAGCTACATCCATCCAATCAGAAAGTCTGCCTTGATACGACCTTCTTACTTTCACTGAATTCAGTTATCAAAACAATACCAGTTAGGTAAACACATTGTTTTACTCACATAAGCTTTTATGCATACACATATAATGAATTAAATTATGAATTCTGGAGCTACATTAATTCTTCAGGTAAATCATAAATGTCATTTTTTCCGTATGACTGTTGGGCCAATGATAAGGAACTGCATTTCAAAACTCTTAATGTAGTGCTATACTTACGAAAATGGATATTTGAAAAAATATCTTATCCAGTATGCAGATATTTTAGTTGATTTCTCAATTTCATCAATTACCCAGATCTTATAAGCCGGGAAATCTTGTAGGATGCCAGATCACTGCATAAAATTTCAACGGATAAAATTTCACTGAGAGGGTCTTTGAACGATTGCTGACCTCCTGTGAGGTGTCACCGCTGCAGAGTTGGACACAGAGGTAGGGCAGAGCAAAGTTTTATTGGCGGCTTGTGGGGGTAGGATGCGCCAATTGCGAGCAACCAGAACAACACTCCAAAGTCTCATGTGGCATTCCTGTCCCCACAATAAAAACTTTTATCTGATTTTGACCTTATAAGAGTAGCCTGTTTGGTAATTATTAAGATATTTATATCCTTTAAATGCTGACCAAATCTAATACATATATATTCTGGAAACCACAATGCAGTGGATGCCTTATTTGAGTTCTTGACCCAGGTTAGCATTGATTAAATGCTACACAATGCAAAAGCGCTACTCACATGAGCTAATTCTTAGAGTGCTTAGGAAAGGTATTGGGTAATATAACTGCAAGAGGGCAGGTATGTGTATCCTCAGTCCCACACACGTGATCAGAACATCCATTCAGACGTTTACTGACTGTCTGCACTCTGTGAGGGACCATGTCATTACTTCCCTCCCTTAATAATTAAATCTCCTACAGGCAGAAATCAAAGACTTTCTTTCCTCCTCTTTCACAGCCCTGGTCCCGTTCACTTTCCAACAAATATTTATTCACAGAGTTGGGACATGGCGAGGAGGCCATTTCAATTCAAGCCTCTGCAGAATCTAGTGGTAAGAGGAAGAGGCTGATAAGAGAAAACGCTCCTCTCCCAAGAGAACTCAACAGTCCATTCTAACACTTGACCTCCCACTGGTGCTTCTAGGAGCTTAGGTTCCATGTTGCAAAGACAGAACAGGAAAGGCTGGCGCTACTGAAGGAAGGAGGAAGGCTAAGAAGTAATACACGTGTGTGGAGGTAACTGATGGATGTAATTCTGTGTGTGTGAACCGCATGCATGCATATTTCCTTGTAAACGAAAATAAATAGAAATAACCTGTGCCTATCCTGGGAGTAGCTGGTGAGCTAAGCTGGGAGAGATAGAAGAATACCAAGGATCTACAGCTAAATGGAGTTTTACAGAACTAAGTACTAAAGCTTAAGACAGTTCAAAGAATGGCTAAGAGAACAGTAAAGGGAACGGATAAAGTTGTTACATAATTTGACAAGTTGTCGGTCTTCCAGGTAAGTGTCTTCTTTCATAAAATTTGTTTACTATTATTCAGTGCTTGAGATCTCAATATTAGACATAGGAATCTAACATTTAAAGACAAAGTACCACCCCTTTAATCTTCTTACCTGTTTAGGTTGCTCTAATATTTGAAGATATGGGCCATCTGCTAAAAAAAAAAAAGGAACAAACAGAAACCAGAAGAAACTGTGAGGCTTGAGACATGGTATCAAATGCAAAGCAATTCAAAAATTGAAATTATGTTTTTATATAGAGATTTCAAATCAATCTTAGCTAAAATTCCACAAGGGTATAATTTTTCTTCCTCGTTTGAAATATTAACTTTACCCTTATATTGAAAACAGTTTTACAGTTTTAGGGAGCCACAATAAATAAAAGTTTGTTGAATGGCGATGGCACATTGCCCAGCCCCACAAACGCAAACATTGTCAGCCGCCTTCACAATCTTATCTCTCCTCACAAAACACTTTAAAATGACAAATACCAATTTAAAGCAGCAGCCACTTCCTGGGCACTATGACATTTTCTTTTGTTTTCACCTCATTAGACACTGACTTTCATTCTTCAGAGAGAATGTGCTTACTGTGAAATTAAAAGAGATTGAGCTAGCAACCTACATGTGTGAGATACACAGATAGTGATCTCAGACTGTTTTCCCTTACACCAAGTTTTCTGTTCCTTTCCTTATCTGAATCCATGAATACTAACCTTTATTTCCTAACTGGTTAGCTTGCTTCCATTCTCCTCCCCACCTTTCAATTTAATCTGGTCTATCAGACACGGTGAACTTTTCTTATTAATCCATAGACTTGATGCTTATGCAAAATTTGTGAATATTGTGCTATCATATGAACTCTGTTCTAGAACAGCTCAGGCATTTTCTAAAATCCTGAAAATAATTTAATTGAAGATAGGTGCATGCAAATTAATTATTGCAAAAACATATAGAAAACTACAGGCTTAATACATACCCTAACTGTATCTGACTTGAACATTCAAAGGAAAATCAGATCCTCTGAGAACATAAATACAAATGTATTCAATGTGAAAAAGTACCTAAGCTCTCTTGCTGGTTTTTATGTTAACACTACAATAACCCATAGCTCTGCAATAAGTAAACGCATATGGTGTTTCTCATCTGTTTGAATATAAATTACAATGTTTGGTATAAAAATATTCTAGGAGAACGTTTCTGTGTCCATTTAAATCTTCATTGTCTCTCAGCTAGAAGCTCAAGACCTGGTATTATGGATAAACAAATTTGTGGGGAAAAGATAAAATTTCAGGTTGAAATTAAAAATAAACTATAACTTAAAAGACAACTTATTTTTATCTTCTCAGTATTGTGATGAATCAGGATAAGAGTAAAGAGTTGCAGAAAACAAAGGTATAGTTATTTCCTGTTATCATTCAAGAAATTTATAAGGAAGCTAGTTGGAAAATGACTGCATTTGAAGTGAAACATACACAAGAAAAGAAAAATGGGAAGTCAGTGGCCAATGTAGTAATATAGTAAATTATATTCTTTTTTTATGTATGAAATCCATCCCTTGACATTTCAAACTACTTTTAGAAACATCATTGCAATTTTAAAATCCAAAAAATGGCTAGAATTTAATTTTGAATAAAGAAGTAAAATTGATTAGAAATAGAAATATTTTCAAACTACTATACTATACTATATATAGCCTGTATAACAATGTAACAAATATAAAAACATTCCCTCTAGAATACTAAAAGAACGTATCAAGAAGATAGACCTCTCAGAAAGCAACATTTGGATAAGATGTCATGAAAAATATAGAAGAGTTGGGAGCACATTCACATTAAACTTCAAAGTCTCTCACTTTTATTAACTCTTCTAAAAATATTTATAGTTTTGCTATTATTTTCCTTTAGGATTTAATTTCCTTTAAACATGTGAAATTTCATGTAAATGGAGGCATTTTTCTCTTCCGGGAACATATTCAAAAGTTAAATCAACTAGAAAATTAGATTTGATATGCATATGCATATGATTTGTTTTAAGGCCAACCTTCTTTTGGCCACATTAACGTGCCATGACAAGTGACATCCCCCTGTGCAGAGAAATTTAAATTACAGCATAATATTATAGACCTAACTTACACCGTATCCCATAGTTTTCAACAAGTAGTAGATCTACTGATGGTTTTAGATTTCAAGAAATCTAGAAGATTAAAAAATCTATATGAAAACTATAAATTATAATAGCTTAGATTTACAAATTAATGCTGGTTTAGATAATCTATCCCTTTAAAATCTGAATAAAACATGCCATACATCTTGGACTATAAAAATTGGACTATGCCAACTGCAACAAAAAGGGAAAAATATACGGATAAAAATGAAGGAGCATTAACAACTGGGAAATAAGATTGTTAGGTATAATTTTAAAAGTTTTTCTAATATTATGGCAAAATAATTTCTACAATATAAAGCTCTGACCACAGAATATTTACTGAGATGATTCTTTTGATAATCTTACTTCTATGCCTATAAACCTGAAGAAAAACAAAAAAAAAATCAAGAAAACGTCTGCCTCACGATATTGCTTGGTATTCACAAAGCAATAAATGGAAATGTGTATATTTCTTGAGGACAGAATCAAGTTCTTACCATTTTAGTAATACATTAATACTAAGAAAAATACTTTCAACCTCAGAACAAAAAAGTTCACAGGAAACACAGACGCTACCAAGACATTTACTTAGTCACAGGAAGCTGACCTAGAGCTCAAAGTGGATAGCTCTTCACAAGATCTCAGACACAGCAGACTGAAAAATAAGTTTTATAAGGTAAAGAGAGAAAGGCCTCTGTAACACCACTTCACTAGTGGAGGCAAAAGTGTGGCAGATCTTTCTCCCCTCCTTTGAACTCCTAGAAATATCAAAGACATAAATGCATAAAAACATCCTGATCTAAAAACTGAAAAGGAAGTACTAGAGTAACCACAGTAATGAGAATGATACGAATTGGGTAAAGCCTCCCAGTGAAGACAAGCAAGTCCATGGTAAACAAAACAGCTGATGCTCACTTCAGTGATTACCAAACTCTGTCTTGTACAGAACCTCAGTAACTCACTCACCTGCTTTTGAACATGTTAAACTAGGGATGTAAAGAGCAAAATAGAACATAAAAAGAGCCATCACACCGAGCTTACGTACAAACCTATCAATTGAAAACAAGAGGCTAATGAGTTGATTTTTAAATTGGTTACTCATATGAGATTAACCAATTGCTGATGGGGGATAATTAATACTGTCATGTTAGAAGGAAGGATTATTATTGTTTTATCCAACTGGTCAGAATGGAAAGCTAAACGTCTTCCATAATTTTTCTACGGAGATGATTTTTATGATTTCTGCACACTGTTTCCCCAGTGCCTGGCACGCTGGCTGGCACACAGCAGACCCTCAGATAAACGCTTTGGAACAGAACTGAGGAGTCGAGACTGCCTCGTGTGAGTCTGGGACAAAGCACAGAGCTCTTAAAACGGACGCAGAAAGGATATGATTGGGTGAAAAGGAAAATCGTTATATCGAGTGAAGAAGTTCCCTCTGTGTCGTCCTGGCAGACACTAACAACTGCAGAAAGCCATACAGGAGTAACTGAAGTGAAACATTTTTGTGCAAACATATTTCAAGAAAGAATATTGAAAGATTGGTTTTTAAAACACAAATCACCATTTCCTTCCTAGGGACATCACTGAATTTCTAAAAGAAACTATTAGCAAATCCTGAATTTTAAAAAACGCGAAAGCAAAACAGTAGGCAGCAGGAACGAGTTTCCTTACCTGTTGGCAGTGCCATCTCTGGTTGGAATAATTCTGGATTAAATATTGTATGATTCAAAGGATTCAAAGGAAACATCTGTAAAGAAGAAAATTTAAGTCTTCCAATCATTTTTCCAACATAATATTAAAAATTTGCAGCTGGGATACCTAAAACTTAGTAACAGGAATGAAAACTAAAGCCAAAAACAAAAAGCTGAAAACATTTTATATCAGGATTTTAAAACACCTTCATGAGACCTAGTTAAGTTCTCATGTGTATGAAATTTTGCATAAGGTTGGACTATGTGTAACAAAAGGATTTGAGAAGAACAACCTATAAGGTTAGCTATAAGGTCTCCAGAGGCAAGGACCTGGTATGGTTTTCTTACTAGCACATTTTCAGGGCTAACTGTATGCTTATCGCAGAGTAGATACTTAACAAATATTTGTTGAATAAATGATTTGAAGCTTATACTCTCTTATAAATATTGGAATATAATTCTAGAAATCTATATTTCTATTATAGCAGTAAATACATCCCTAATCTAGCTACTCAATTTCAAGGCCTCAAATTATAGACAGCAGCTCTGGAACTATTTACAGAATAATTGAAAATTAACTTACAGTCCAAAGAGCAGATAACTAAGCAATGAGCACACTCATTTTTTTTTCACCTTTGTTTTCTTAGCATAATACAAAATGCCTGGAATTTGGTGGGTGTTTTAGGCTGAATAATGGCTCCCCCCACAGATGTCCACGTCCTAATCCTCAGAACCTGTGAATGCTCCTTATATCGCCAAAAGGACTTTGCCAATGTCATTAAGGCAAGGCTACTGAGATGACTGCCCTGAACTGTCCAAGTGGGCTCCGTAGAGGGATCCAGGAAATCAAAGTGAGCAGTAGGAGGGCGACATTGGAAGCAGGAGGCTGCAGTGATGGGTGGGTGCACAAGCCAAGGAACGCAGGCAGCCTCCAGAAGCTCAAAAAGGCACAGAATGAGCCTCTAGAACCTCTAGAAGGAATGCAGCCCTGCCAGCACGTGGATTTAGACTTCTGACCTCCAGACTTAGGAAAATAAATTAGCGTTGTTTTAAGCCATAACTTTGTGCTAATTTGTTACAGCAGCAACAGAAAACTAACACAGAAAACTAACACAGTGGGCGTGTAATATATTTTGCTGGCATTAAGTTCTATCCTGATAAAACACTTTTAATTACTTATCCCAAGAAAAAAAGTTTTCTCCCAGTTCATTCATTTAGAACTTTAAATTCATATTTCCGAGTTTGCTATTTGTTTTGGCCTAAAGAAGTCACGTGCTTGAAATGTCTGTGGTCAGCATAGAAATAACCATATTTTACTTTTTATGATAGGCTAGTCAGTAAGTGTGCTGGAACTAGTATATTTTTTAAATCGCTAGTATTAAAACTTGTCTCTTGTCAGTATTAGTAAATTATTAGAGGTTCTTGGGTACCTAAGAATCTAGTATGCCTAGTTAAATCAAGAGGAAGAAAAAGAGCATTTAAATAAAGAACACTTCAGATCCAGTTGTAATGGATGCAAAGTTTCAACTGAGGAACAAAAAAAGTTCCCCTTCAATGCTTAAGGATAAAGCTCATTGATGCTATTTATTGTTTGCTGAAAAGGAAATACAGGAATGAGAAAACATGTTCTGCAAAAATGGGCCCCACCTTACAAGGAGTATTTGCTAGTCTCAGAGCAAAAAAGACAACCTAGTAGGAAAAATCTCCTTTCCTGTGGTCCTGCAGGTGGCTAAAATGACTGGAATCTGGGCAAAGGCACCCATCTTAGGAGAGAGATTCGCAATCTGCTTTGGACAAAAAAGAGAGCAGCTGTGTTGTACCGCAGCTTGCATTGTTCATTAGGTCACGGGAGAAGAGCAAATTCCTGACTGCACTAAAACACTGAGGATATACCAGGAGGACATATAAACTTTAGGAAATAGAATCATTAAGCTTGAGACAAGAAAAAAAATTTCAAGGACCTCTCCCCTCAAAAATGGAAATATCAGAACACACCCAAGCACTGTTGCTGATCGCAAAAATGCCCACATGTCAAAAACTTTCAAAATGAATGTTTTCAGCAGGTTGTACTCTTGTGTGGCATAAAGAACCATCTCTTGTTGATAAGATTTCCTGCAGATAGACAGGAAGGCGTGGTTTAAAATCAAGCAGAAACAACCCTCATGCTGCACTTTAATTGTTAGAGATAGCATATTAAAAGTGAAAGGCAAAATAAAGGGTTTTTGATGATATGAATAGCCAAATGTTTTTCACACTGCTATCAAGGAAAATGTTCCTAGATTTATCTTTTATCACCATTTTTACAATAAAACTAGAAAGGAGGATCTTAATGTGAAAAGCAATGCATATCCATTCTTTCTAAATTAATCACAACATTACCAATAGCAGTGAATGCTATATGTCTATTTTATCCATAGAAACAATACTAGATCTCTTAAAAAGTATTTTGCTTTTGGTTTTATTTTTCTGACTGATTCTTCCTATGTGTAAATTTGGGAAATTCATTGTTTCAAATAGTTGCCACTAAAATTTAAACATGAAATGTTAATGAATCATGGACCAGAGTGTCCTGATACCTCATGTTCCCTCACCTTGTCTAGCCTAGAAAACTACATCTTTCAAATCTCAGCTTACAGGGACTCCCTTTGGAGTCCTCCAAAGGGAGAGTCCTCCATAACTCTGCTGTTCCCCCAAGGAAGCACCTAAGTGATCTCTCTCAATATTTCTGTCCCACTCGTGCAGACCACCATAGCATTTACCACCATATGGAAACTGTGTCTGTCCTTCCTACCAAAATGGCAGCTTCCTGAAACAAGAGTCTATATATCGCTTATTTTTGTATCCCTACTAAACCAATGTTCTAGTATACAGTAATATCTCAATAAATAGCTGATGATAAATAAATCTCAGTGTTTTAAATCCTTCTTAGAATCATTATTTATGTTCTCTAAAAAAATACCAACATATCTTTTAAGGAAAATTTTTAAAAATTTTAAATATTTAATATTGCCATTGCAGTTACTCCAGAATCTGAAAACTGGTTTCAAATGATTCCATATGGGGGCGGAGGTGGGGGGAGCAAACTGTTAATAACCAACATGGATTTTTTGGACTATTAGACATTTCTATAGGCTTGAAATTTTTCAAAACTGAAGAGCTAGGAGAAAAAGAAAAAGTACAGTGGTATGCTTTCATAACCGCGAATATAACCATAATGAACAGTTTATGCTCCCAAAGCACATTCATTACCAACTGAGTATTTTCAACACCTCTGTGAGTGTGAGTGTAGAAATTTGCTAGCATTTCTATTTTGCAAATGAGAAAAGTAAGGATTAAAGGGGCTAAATGATTCCTCAAGTCTGAAGAGCTGATCAGTAGCAGTCGGCACTTCCAGAAAGATCTTCAAATTCTAAGTTCAAAGGTCTTACTACACTGATCTGCCTCCTAATTAGATGAGTTTGGTTTTCTTGTTTTGTTTTGTTTTTATGTCTGCTCCTCTGGGGAAAGATGAATTTTAAATAAATATTTTAAGGGGCTGTAATGGGTTGAACTATGTTCCCTCCCAAAAAGATACATTTAAGTCCTAATCCTCGGTACCTATGAATAGGACCTTATTTGGAAATCCGGTCTTTGCAGAGGTAAGCAAGTTAAGACGAAGTCATATTGGATAAGAGTGGGCCCTAAATCCAATGACTGATGCCTTTATAGGAAAAAAGAGAAGATTTGGGTACTGAGACACAAAAGACACAGGGAAGAAGGCATCTGACAGCAGCGGCAGAGAGAGAGTGACGCAGCTACGAGCCAGAGAATGCCAAGGATTTTGCCAGCAACTGGGAGAGGGCACGGAGCAGATTCTCCCTCAGAACCTCTGGAAGGATCCACCCCGTCAACACTTGATTTCAGACTTTCAGCCACCAGAACCGCGAGAGAATATGCCCTGTTGCTTTGAGCCACCAGGGCTGTGGTGACTTGTTGCGTCAGCCCTAGGAAACTAATACAGTGGCTGTCACGTGACCTGCAGCTTATACAATTTTTATGCAACAATAAGTGGGCGAGTAGGGTTTACGTTCTTATTTTACATGTCTTGTCCTCTTTAACCTCACATGGAGAGACAGAGAAACCAGAAAAATAAATTTTAATTGTTACTGATTTTAGAGTTTTCCTGATATTGAATTACTAATATTGCCTCTATATATTTTGAAATATGAAGACATTTGAATAAAATGATCAGTGAGATTATAACACTTACTTGTTCATGCCCTCCCAAGTATGGGTCGTCTTCTGCCATTCCGGAGCTGTGTATTAAAACAAAGCAAAACAAAACTGTAACGCTAGGATGAACCTTAAAAACTCTATCACCATGGAATTCGTGCAGGAGTAAACTGTATTATTTCAGTAAGACCAAACATAATGCTTTTTTAAAGACCACAGGAGGACATAGTGTTGTTCCTCTTTGGTATCTAAACCTAACAGCAGGGAGATTGCATAATCAAGGAATTACCAGTTACGTATGATCTAAGCTCATAACAGCGTCCTGAGTTTGCAACAACTGGTCTTTATCCTCTGCACAAAAAATCATGCATCCTGGGATTCTTAGAAGCCATTTCTTTTTACCACCCTCTAAACATTAAGTATTAATAGTCTTAGCTCCTTAAGTATATTATTTTCCACCCCTTCATGAATTCTGGGGTGGTTCTAAAACTGTCTTCCAGTTTTCTACAAGGTTAAGGAGCTCAGAAGGGCCCCATCGGTGCTCTGCATAGCACAGGAGAGGACCGCCAGCTACCATGTGCGTGCTCCGTCCTCCAGCGAGTTCCAGGGGAGCAAGCCTTTCTCCTGCCACTGTCAAACCACTATAGAAATCCTGTAATGTTAAAAGTGAAAGAGAAAATACAAAAATAAAAGCCCTTATTATCAAGGCTATAGGTCTCAGACTGAATCAACCTCACACAGACATTTACACGCTGCAGGCCCTAGCAATCTTCTGTTACCCAGTGGCCCCGATAAAAAGCGAAGAACCATGCGGTTACATAAAGATAGTATCTAAAATCACGTATCATTTAGGATTTACTTTGATAAGAAATAGTCTTGTTATTATATTCAATATAGGTTAATTTTATTTAAGTTTATTTAGATCAAATTTTAGATAAGCAACATGAAAATGAGAAGACTAAAAAAAAAGTCTGGAAGCAAATATAATTGCTGATGGGAATTTCTCGTTTTTTTCATGACGTCTATACAGCGCTCAAGGACACTCCGGACTGCAGATGAGAATGTGAGGTGTCCAGCAAAATGTGCTCTCTGTTTCCACAGCAACAGCGCTGTGGCTGCAAACGCGGCCGCTCAGCTGGCGCGTACCCCACGCGTCCCTGAAGCTGGCGACGGCCGTCTGCCCACCGCTCGCCGGTGGGGCGTCAGACTGTCGTGTGCCTCGTCCAGGTCTGGGCTTAAGGCCCTTGTCATGCTTCCTCCAGGTTTTGTTTTTTTTTTTTTTTTTTGCTCTTTTCCGCTGGATAAACCCAGACTTGGAGAAGACCTGGCTTGTACCACACAGGTGACGAACAGCCTAGGAGATGGCAGACAAATAGGACAGAAGGAGACTGGATCCCTGAACACCGCCATGAGACGGAGCTGCCCTGACCATCAGGCAGCTCATGCTGGTGGCGATGTGAGGAAGAAAGAAACTTTGTTCTTTAACCCAATGTACTGTCAGGTTTTTTGTGGAAACATCCAGCCCTCGCTCTAATGAATACATCGCCTAACACTCCAGTAAGCACAAAAGCCTCCAAAGAGGAACCTGATTTCCAACGCAGTCCTCTCCTGCTGCAGTGCTGCGTGGCTGGTGACCAGCCAGCAAGCTCACGAGCATTCCTAGGGGGACACAGCGCAGTGTCCAATTTTAACGGAAGGGAAAGGGCAGCTCTGAATTCTGTAGAACATGAAGTTCATGCGGAGCTGCAGGGAAGTATTTGCCTAAGACAAGAAACTGCCGATGGAAGGTATACAAACAGCCGCACTTGAACAAATCTCAATTAAGACAAGCAGTTTAAAAAGGGAAAATTGACCTGATCCGGTAAAGAGGAATTAAGTCATTCACAATTCAAGTGTTCTGCCACGGCTGGGCGTGCGACCTCGTGTATTAACTAAACTCACTGTGGCCTTTGCTTGTGGGATAGACTTTTGAAAAGAAAAGAACTTTGCTGAGCTTGGAATATGTCAGTTAGCTAATAAACGCCTATTCAACATTCCCAATAAATAATCATTAGCATAATTTTCAGTTATATGATGAATACTAATGAAAAAAATGTTACACTGAAATACAGTGCTAGTATCATTTACAACAATCTACGTGAAAATTCCTATCCTTAGAACACCACAGGAGCCCAAACTTCCAAGAAAGATATTAAAATCATATTTTTGCCTTTAGACTTTCCATTAATCTGGGCCGATCTCCTGAATCTTCTCAAATAGTCTTAACCCACAGTCTTCAAAAGCAGAGGTAAAAACTGGGCACAGTGGCTCATGCCTATAATCACAACACTTGGCGAGGCCGAGGCTGGTGGATCACATTAGGCCAGAAGTTCAAGATCAGCCTGGGCAACACAGTGAGACCCCATCTCTACAAAAAAAAATTTAAAAATTAGCTGGGTGTGGTAGCATATGCTAGTAGTCTGAGGCAGGAGGATTGCTGGAAGCCAGCAGTTCGAGGCTGCAGTGAGCTATGATCACACCACTGCACTCCAACTTGGATGAGAAAGAGACTTTATCTCTAAAGTCTCCTCAAAAAAACAAAAAAAGCAGAGGTGAGATTGTTGACTTATTAAAACTGATAGAACCCATTCAGTACCTCTATTATACCGATTGTGTATATTTAAACCTGTGGATGGTTTCCCAGATCTTTAAATGTATAAACTTATAAAGCAGCCCTCACCCTAATTTTTACAACTCAAACTGAACCTAATTTATTAGATCTGATGCAGGGTTATTATCATGATCACTACTGTAGCTAAAATCTTAATGAAGATCTCCAAATTGTAGACAATGGACGAACCGACGAATCAAACAGTCTTCCCTCCAGTATCTTCTCCGTGGTCTACGCAGTGATGTGTGCCAAAAGATCAAAGTTTTAAAAGCCCAACAGCAGCCCAAGGGGACACTTGGGTGAGGTTAAAATCTGAACTTTTACAGCCTCGTCAAGACAGTGAAGTTTACTGTGAATAGCTGAAGTAACAGTAGCCCAATGGTGATGTTAATGTTAATTCATCATTTAAAAATAAAATGTCAAAAGGAACCAAGAATTATTTGGAAAGGATGAATCACTGAGTGATATTTGCATTAATTATAAAAGCAGGTTTTATTTGTAAAATGTTGAAACACTAACTAAGCCTTTGGAACCTACGGTTTAGAAAAGACCAGGGAAAACCCCTTCCACCTCCCTGGCCCCCCAGCCCTTCCCCTCACTTTCCCTTGTTCAGCTCTGTGCTTTTGAGGAAGGATCTTGAAACAGAAAGGGAGACACTGAGTTGACCGGGGACAGTCTCTGCAGCTCTGTCCCCCAACACTGAGGTTTTCAGGAATATTTTCACACCATGGAAGGAGAAATAGAAAATGTAGCTAGACAGCAACAAATAAAATATCCAGTGAATTTTTTGTTTTTTTCATGAAAAGCATAATGTTGCAACTAGCTTTGTTCAGAATATATGAAGAGTTCTATGATACGCTAATGGGTTATTTTCAGCACATCTGTGACAATTCCCTACTAACACCGAAGTCCAGCATACGGGCTTCTAGGTGAAGGCAGCCAGCACTGAGTGGATTAGCTTTAACGCTCCGAACCATTACGGGCAGAGTTGGAGGCACTCCTGTCCACGGAACCGGGGAAACTTCCTAGGATCAGAGATATTCACACTTTTTGACTATTACCCACTGTAAGAAAATATATTCTTTCTGTTCTATTAGACTTCATTAAAAAAAAATTTTTCAAACTCATTAAAATGATTAATGACCCACTAAGGATAACAATTTTCAGTCTGAAAAACAGAATTTTAGGTGCCATCTAGAGGGTACAGTTGAGAATCAGAGAGCAGTGTCTCTATTTTCAAGATTATATTCAGCCACAACAGATACCACTTAGGTATAATTTTAATACCTCATTTTGGACAGCAATGAGGATGACACTACAAGAAAAAGGGTGGCTGTTCATCATTTCTCTGTGAGATAATAAATTGACAAAGAGAAAGAATGTGCTGAAGCCTCTTTCCATACAGGAATTTTTTGGAGGAAACATGATATAATAAGGTATATGCGTACGTACACCACATATAATGTGAAACATTGAAACGAGACTATCTTTTGATTCTGCGATTCCACTTTCAGAAATTTGTACTAAAAAATGATCTAAGCAAGTGTATAAAAAATAAGTATAAGGATAATCCCTGCAGCAAAAAAACCTGGAAACAATCTAAATGTCCTTTGACAGCAGATTGTTTAATGATAATTATCCTACATTCATTATCCTGCATTTATAAGCTAAATATTATGCAATTGTTAAAAATAATTAAGATCTACATATAGTAAATGGAAACTTTTACTCACTATGTTATACATTTCCATATTTTAATTTTCTAACTCAATTACATAATTAGGAATATATTTTTAATAGAAAAAAGAGAAATTGAAAACTCTTCCGAATTTAAAGCTTAACTCTGACATCTTTAATAACACAGTGAATAAAACATGAAATAAAAATGAGTCAAAAAGTTCTAAGCACTACTGGAATCTTCTTTGCAGGAAATATAATAGAAAAAAATTTAACTTTAAAAGGCCTATTGATTTATATCTTTCTGACAATATATTGGCTTAGCATTGATAAAGGAAAAATTGACAATGGGATTAGTTACTTATTTCAGGAGAGCTGATTTCTGAAAGTTTTTAAAAAGGAATTAATATTTATGTGCTATTACATTTAGATTTATATAAACTAATTTTCCATGTTTTAACACTTCTTCCATTTTCATATCCATGTTGTTTCATTTGGGTGCAACACGACCAATTAACACGTAGAATAACTACCTATTAATAGTAAATGCAAATACATCGTGTTTGGAGCTCATAAAGAGAAGGTCTCTGTTCACAATGGAATGCCAATCTAGCAGGGATGGCAGACACACACACAACATTTAACTAGTCAATTCACGCAAAGCTTATTAGCACAGTGAGTGATATACAGCAAGTGTTGGTCATTTTATTAGCATAATAAACAATACGTTTGTGGTAAGTTATGGGAAGAAGAATA